TCCTCTGAGCGCTTCGTTCATCTTTAGAAAACAAATTAACATTTTTTAGATGAAATCCTGGAGCTCTCCTGTCCAGTATTTATGCAATTTAACTTAATTAGTGTACTTGAAGGGGAAGTTCACCCAAAAATGAAAATTTACTTATTATTTATTCTTCCACAAGTGGGTTCAAACCTTTATGAGTTTCTTCCACAGTATTATTTTTCCCACTATGTTAGTCAATGGTTACCGGTTTTCAACATTCTTCAACATTTTTTTGACAGAAGAAAGAAACTAATGAAGGTTTGAAACAAGTAAATGATGACAGAACTTTTTTTAATACTTGAGTAAATATAAAAGTGAATGTTTTTACTAAATTGTATTTTTTAAAGAGAGAAAAAGGACTTGTTACTCCTTACAATTTTATTTAGTCAATAATGCACAAGTTTTTGGATTTTGTTTTCATTCAATTTTTCTTACAATTTTACTAACAAACAAGTGAACCTTTACTTGAAAGAAACTGTCCAAAACTAAAATGCAGATTAAAATAAAAAAAAAAAATACACCAATTACAATAATAAATAAATAAAATAAAATAATTAAAATAAAATAAAGAAATTAAATTAAAATAAAATAAATTAAATGAATGAAAATAAACTATAAATAACAAAAAAATTATTAAAAATTTAATAATTTAAAATAAATTGAAAAAAATTACAATAAAATATAAATAAATACGATTAATACAAATTTAATAAGTAAAATTTTATTAATAATTTTAATTACATAAAAATAAATTAGATGAAATAATGAATAAATAAATTGCAGAAAAAAATCTAATTAAATAAATAAAAATAAATTATAATTTAAAAATAAATTATTTATATATCGGTCCCGCTCTAAATTATTAAATAAATTAAAAATAAAAATAACGAAATTAAATAAAGATTTTAAATTAAATAAACGTTAATTGAATAAATGATAAAAATTATAAATAAATTAAATAAAAATGTAAAATTAAATTAAATGAAAAATAAAACGAAGTAAAAACAATTTAAATAAATGAAAATAAATTATAAATAAATAAATAAAAACTAAAATTATTAAAATGAAAAAAAAACAAATTAAATAAATGAAAATAAATTTTAAATAGATAAAATCAATTAAAATTAAAATGATTAAAATTAAATTAAAAATTAAATTAATTAAAATTAAATTAAAAATTAAATAAAAAAAATAAATTAAAGTAATAAAAACTAAAGTAATTAAAAATAAATTAAAAAATTTTAATTAAATAAAAATTTATTAAATAAATGAAAAGAAGTTATAAATAAATAAATAAAATAAAAATACAAATAATTAAAATTAAATAATTTTTTAATTAAATAAAGATAAATTAAATAAATGAAAATAAGTTATAAATAAATAAATAAATAAAAATAGAAAATTCATTTAAATTATATTCAGAGGCTGCATTCCATGTCAGGAAGGCACATCAGCATCCAAATTCAGCTATTTCCACTTCTGTTGTTATTACTAGCAAGAAGTTATCATCACTAAAGTGCTCGACATCTCAGTAGATAAAGCGCTGAAGACTTTTCTGGAGGTCCACCATCTCCACTGCTGTCCATGAAGGATGAGAGAGCTCCAGGATTTCATCTAAAATATCTTCATCTATGATTTGAAGACGAACAACGCTCTCAGTGGATGATGAAGCTTAATTAATAACAGAATTTACATTACAGAGCACACAAACCCTTTAATTACTACTCATTTACAAATATTTCCTTTGATAATCGCTCAATTATATTTACATTATTCATCTAAAATTGAGTTTCGTTCAATTTCTTGATTGATTACTGACCTCTATACACACATTTATGAAGATAGGGAATGTGTTCATATATAAAAGTGGTGTAACTCTTGAGCTGTGCCACATTATAATGCAATAACAAACAGCTATGATGCACAGTTTAATCCTGTGTTTGATCACTTGATTATAGTTTGTAATCAAGCAGCTGGATGATTACAGAACCAAACAACCAACACATCCATACACACACAATACACACTTAAATGAGTGGAAGGAACTCATTAGATTAAAACAAAGGCTTGACCGCACGGCACAGACATATCAGCATGCACTAAAACAAAAGTAAAATAATCAAACAATAATTCACAATCTGCTGATGCAAGCACTTCTCACACAGGTGACCGCACGCTCATGCCAAGACAATAAATAAATAAATGAACACCGGAAGGAGGGAGGGAAGGAAAAAGAAGAAAGTGGGATAGTTACTACTGCTGCGCTCTTTCCCTAGACATAGTCGTTTCAGAGTGGACCCTACAAGACCAAACAGCACAGACACACAGACGTTAGGGGCGGGGACAAGCACACGGCTCAGCCCATTGGACAAGCTGCTGCACAAGAAAGCACAGCGACCAATCAGAGAACAGATCAGCTTCCTCTGTGAGCTCATGAGGGTGACGGGTGTGGATGGACAAACACAGACTCTTGATACAGATTAATGCAATGTGAATCTAATCAGTATGAATGATCATCTAAATATTCTTCTGCTCTAAAGACCCCATGAAATGGTTTGGATGCAGTGCTGGTAAACATTGGGAAAGTCACTTTAAGTT